GCCAGTACCTCGCCAGCCGACAGGACCCCCTCCTGGACCGATTCGTTCGAAGGCAGCTCCGACCCGCAGGAATCAGAATGACAACCTGGGGAGAGTGCATGCAGCACAGCAGGCCCACCTCTCGACGGGCCGTATCCTGCGCGATCACTATTCTATTATACTGGGGCAGTGCAGTATGTTGAACAGACAGCTCAGTTACATCCAGCTCCAGAGGGATAATATCATGTCCCCAGTCGTGAATGACACGCACCTTGAGGCTGACCGTGTCACCACGCGGCGCAACCTAGACAGTCAGATAAGCTACCTGAGGGACGAGCTGGATCGTTTGCATGAGTGCATCAGGGTGCTGGATGAGTCTGACTACGGTGTGCAGCGTTTCGACTGGGAGATATCGAGACCGAGCGGGAGCAGTGAGAGGGATGAGGGGCAGTAAATAGAGCCTGCATGTCTTGCTTCCCCTCCCTCCGAGAGCCTGCTGCTGCCGCTCGCCTCCCCACCCCCTCCCGCCCGACCCGCGTCGACTTGCACGGGCTGCTGCTGTATAAGTACAGCCAGCAGGACAGCCCTGGACGCGGGGGGGGGAGTTGGCTACAGTCAACGTGTCTTGATCTTTTTTCTTTTTTCCCCTCCCAGGCCTCAGGAGGCCAGAGGTTCAGCAGTAAGGGGTGTGTGGCTCGCCCCATGAAGGGGTAACCACACACACACACACACCCGAGTTTTGAGGTATAAAATTGCGACGGGAGCCTCTGCCGAAGCGGCAGCGCTTGCAGCGAGAGGCTGCGGCGTTCGCCGTAGGCGGCAGGGGGGGGACAGGCAAAGGTCCCATCCTTGTTTGCTTCCATATCTTTCCTAGGGGCCCGACGTGCTGCAAGCGGATCGGACTTGGCCCCCAACGGCTCCACCACCACCACCACCTCCTCCTCCTCCTCCTGGTCGCTCTGCCCGTCCTCATCTTACCGCTCCCTCTCCTCCTGCTGTGTCTCTCCTTCCTCCTCGTCTTCCCCGTGCTCCTGAACCTCCTGCTCCTCGGGCGGTTGCGCTCGCGGGCGGGTTGATATTGTCGCCCAGTTGAGCTTGCGATTGCGTCCGCAAGCGGGTTGAAATGTGTCGCCTGGTTACGGTTGCGCTTGCGGTGGCGCTCGCGGGCGGGTTGAAATGTGCCGCCTGGTTGCTGCTGCGGTTGCGGTTACGCCCGCGGGCGAGTTGAGATGTGTCGCCTGGTTTCGGTTGCGGTTGCGCCCGCGGGCGGGTTGACATGTGTCGCCTGGTTGCTTCTGCGGTTGCGGTTACGCCCGCGGGCAGGTTGAAATGTGTCGCCTGGTTGCGGTTGCGCTTGCGGTGGCGCTCGCGGGCGGGCTGAAATGTGCCATGTGGTTGCGGTTGCGGTTGCGGTTGCGCCCGCGGGCGACTTGAAATAGGTCGCCTGGTCGCGGTTGCGGTTGCGCACGCGGGCGGGTTGAATTGTGTCGCCTGGTCGCGATTGCGGTTGCGCCCCCGAGCAGGTTGAACCGTGTCGCCTAGTTGCAGTTGCGGTTGCGCCCGCAGGCGGGCTGAAATGTGTCGCCTGGTTGCGGTTGCGCTTACGGTTGCGCCCGCGGGCGGGTTGAAATGTGCCACCTGGTTGCGGCTGCAGTTGCGGTTGCGCCCGCAGGCGGATTGAAATGCCACGCCTGGTCGCGGTTGCGGTTGCGCCCGTGGGCAGATGGAAATGTGTCGCCTGGTTGCGGTTGCGGTTGCGCCCGCGAGCGGGTTGAACCGTGTCGCCTGGTTGCGGTTGCGGTTGCGTCCGCAGGCGGGTTGAAATGTGTCGCATGGTTGCGGTTGCGGTTGCAGTTGCGCCCGCGGGCGGGTTGAAATGTGCCACCTGGTTGCGGTTGCGGTTGCGCCCGCGGGCGACTTGAAAGAGGTCGCCTGGTCGCCGTTGCGGTTTCGCCCGCGGGCTGGTTGAAATGCGTCGCCTGCTCGCGGTTGCGAATGCCCCCGTGGGCGGGTTGAAATGTGTCGCCTGGTTGCGCTTGCGGTTGCGTCCGGGAGAGGGTTGAACCGTGTCGCCTAGTTCCGGTTGCGGTTGCGCCTGCAGGCGGGTTGAAATGTGTCGCCTAGTTGCGGTTGCGGTTGCGGTTGCGGTTGCGCCCGCGGGCGGGTTGAAATGCGATGCCTGGTTGCGGTTGCGGTTGCGCCCGCGAGCGGGCTGAAATGTGTCGCCTGGTTGCGGTTGCGGTTGCGTCCGCAGGCGGGTTGAACAGTGTCTTCTGGTTGCGACTGCGGTTTCGCCCGCGGGCTGGTTGAAATGTGTCGCCTGGTTGCGGTTGCGCTTGCGCCCGCCGGCGACCTGAAATTTCCTCGCCTGGTTGCGGTTGCGGTTGCGGTTGCGCCCGCGGGCGGGTTGACATGTGTCGCCGGGCTGCGGTTGCGAATGCTGTTGCGGTTGAGCCCGCGGGAGGGTTGAAATGTGTCGATTGGTTGCGGTTGCGGTTGCGCCAGCGGGCGAATTAAAACGTATCGCCCAGTTGAGGTTGCAGATTCGATTGCGCTTGCGGGAAGATAGGAATGTATCGCTTGGTTGCGGTTGCGGCTGCGGTTTCGCCCGCGGGCGGATAGATTCGTGTTGCCTGGTTGCGGTTGCGGTTGCGCCCGCAGTCGGGTTGAAACGTGTGGCCTGGTTGCGGTTGCGGTTGCGGTTGCGCCCGCGGGCAGATGGAAACGTGTCGCCTGGTTGCGGTTGCGGTTGCGCCCGCGGGCGGGTTGAAAGGCGTCGCCTGGTCGCGGTTGCGGTGACGCCCGCGGGCGGGTTGAAAGGCGTCGCCTGGCTGAGGTTGCGGTTGCGGTTGCGCCCGCAGGTGGGTTAAAAAAGTGTCGCCTGGTTGCGGTTGCGGTTTCGCCCGCGGGCGACTTGAAGTATGTCGCCTGGTCGCGGTTGCGGTTGCGCCCGTGGGCGGATTGAAATGCGTCGCCTGGTCGCGGTTGCGGTTGCGCCCGCGGGCGGGATGAAATATCTGGCCCGTTTGCGGCTGTTGGTGCGCCTGGGCGGTTCGGAATGTGTTGTCAAAAGTGCCCCTCCAGTCAGTTCAGTCAATGCAATTCAGTTCAAATCACTCGGTCATTCAGCGGAAGGCACGGAATTTCACCCGGCTCCGCCAGGAATGAAAAACTGGTCCTGGGGAGTGCGTCGATGACTAGCGACTGGCCTCGAGCTTATCCACATCCCTAAAATCAACACGTTTCAGGCGATGTCAATATTAGGGATGTGCCCTGAGAAGCCCTCAGGAACTGAGAGCGGCATCGAGACAAGGAGATTAGAGGCCTCCCTGATGGGGTCGGAATAGATGGGGTCGGCAGATCGCGCCGCATCGCCGATGCATCTCCATTACATCGCCGATGCATCGGCGACGTGGGTGACGCACAGGCGCCGTCGGCCCGGAGAATATCGGGCTCCACATCGAGCTTCATCGGCGATGCATCGGCGATGCAGCGCAGTCCCCCGACCCCATCCACTCCGACCCCATCCGGGAGTCCCAGAGAGATGCCCACGACAGGGATGGAGATGTGCTGCAGGCTGGTGCGACGAGACCTCCGAGGGTCCACGCCGTTACAAAAAATCATGGCGCCAGGGGCCTGGGCAGGGAGCCCACCGAAAGACGGGCGCGCCCAACCACTCGCAGGAATACGGCCCCCCAGTCTGCGAGGCCAACCCCGTGATACGAACGTTCGCGAAATGCGCACGTCCGAAACCGACGTGGATTCATCGACCCGTCGGTCAGAAGAAGTGGGTAGAAACAAAAAGTAGTGGGGCGTTGGAAGTAGATGGGGCTTCCGCCCGCCCCCTGAAGAGGAAGGAACAGGTGAAACCGCTCGATCATTGAAGTAGGAAGGCGCCTAAAGTAGAGTGGGACTTGGGCATCCAAAAAAAAATACTTTCAACGACCGACGGGTACGTCCTTCTCTCGCTCCTGATGGGAGACGGCGGCACCTGCGGGCATCCCCGGCCTACGGGGGATGCAGAGACCATGGGATGGGGTGGGAGCGAGGAGAGCTCGGGGATCTTCTGACCCGGAACAATCCAGACCCGGGTCAGTCAGGCCTTGCAGAATCCTGCAGGATCCTGCGAGATCCTGCACCCAAACCCGGGTCAAAGCGAAGGATCCTGCAAGATCCTTCAGGATCCTGCGCCCAAAGCCGGGTCAGTGCGACCCTGGCCCTGCAGGATCCTGCAAAATCCCGCGCTCTGGCTGACCCCCGTTTGCATGGACCCCCGTCTCCCGAGTCCCGAAGAGCTCGGCGGCCTTCGAGGCCAGCGCTCGAGCGCGGGCCGCTCCCCCTGAAGCCCACCCCTGTTCGCGGCACCAGCTCGGCAAGTCCGACGTGACCCCTGGCCGGCGGGCCAATCAGCCAATCAACCCACCAGCCAACCCACCAGCCAACCCACCAGTCAACCAGTCCTCCAACCATCCGACCTCCTCGTTGGATGTCCCACGCGGCGGGTCCCAGAAAGAATGTCTTGACCCGGCAAAAGTCGTTAGACCTTGCAACTGAAAAAAGGAACCCTGAAAGACAAATTGGTTTGACCCCTCTCCCCTGGCGGCGCTCAAAAGGGGCTGGGGGAGAGGGGGGAGGACTCCTTTGGAAGGAGGCTGCTCCTTAGAAGGCACGGGCCCTACACGTCTACAGAGACCTAGGCCCGCGCCTTAAGCAGCACCCTTCTAAGAAGCCTTCCCCTTACCCCCCTCTGCGCGTGGCTGACCAGCCTCGAATCGACAAATCGGATCGGCGTTCGCAATGAATCGGATCTGCGGATGTTGGTAGCCAAGTCGGGAGTGGTCGAATCGGCGGACATCGGCAGGCCAATGAGGCCTCCGCTGAGCAACCGAACTCCAAATCGGAACCAGAAATCGAGTCGAATCGGAGTCGGAGTCGATCGAAGTCGAATCGGATCGAGTCAGAGGAGTCGAGATGAGAGCCCTGCCCCTCTCGTGGTCGGGGGTGTGACTTCGGGCGATGGCCTGAGCTTCCTGCGGACCATCCACTTGATCCTGTGCTCGAGGCCCTGACGGGCGGCGAGCCCAGGGGGGAGCCGCGAGGGGGAGCGGGCCTCGCCGGAAGGCGCGAGGGCTGCCGACAAGCCCCGCAGCCTCCTGGGGCCCGCGCCCCCCTCTCGCGCCCCCCCCGGGCTCGCCGCCGACCTGGGGCATCAGCCCGGGCGGGAAGGACGCGTCCAGGGTCTCGTAGAGGGGCAGCTGCGACAGGGCCCCCTGCAGCTCCAT